GAGGAGGAGGAGGAGGAGGAAGAGGAGGAGGAGGAGGAGGAGGAGAGGATGAGGAGGAGAAGGTCCCGACGATGGAGGACGAGAAGGAGGAAGAGGAGGAGGAGGAGGATGACAAAAGGAAGGAAACTCACCTGGCGGCGGCGGGCGATGGCGCGTGGGTTGCGAGCGTTAGGCGTCAGAGCTCGGCAAACTGCAACGCCGAACTTCGCCGACGGGGCAGGGCAAAGTCGCGCGCGAGGGATGGCTGCAGCGGGTCCAAATTCGAATTTGAATTCGGCCCGATCCGAGCTGTCGATCTCAAAGATCTGATTGCCCAGATCGAGCCTTTTTTGTTTTCGGATTCCGACGCCCTACCGGCCTCCGAAAAAAAGTCCCTTGCCCCCCACCGCTTCGGGCCTGCCGTGTCCCACCCTCAAGGTGCCCCCCCCCCGTAGAAGCGCCCCTCACATTTTTCCCACTGATCGGACGGAGGGCCCTGGGAGGACATCCGCCCAACTGTCCGACCGGACAATTCCGGACGGTCAGGGGGGGTCCGGACGTCCGATCGGGCAACCTAGCTTACAAGGGTATCAACCCTGGTTTTTGCAGGTGACAAAAAAAATGGTTTTGGTTTGAAAGTTTGGTGCATTGTGCGAGTCGCGATTAAACTTTTCGTTGATGATTGGTAGATGAATGTTGGAAGGAGATAGGGAGTGCGTGTGTGCGCAATTTTGAGGCGTGTGCGATGTTTCTTATTGATGTTATAGGGCCGGTGCATGTGTTGGGCAATTTGTTTTTGCTTTTGGTCAAACTAGGATTAAAAGCTAGGTTACCAGTCGTCCGATGGCCGGACGTCTCGGCCGGACGTCTCCCCCAACCGTCAGGTAGGGGGGTCTGTCTCTTATACACATCTAGATGTGTATAAGAGACAGCCATACAGATCCCCCATAAAAAAATTCAGAATTTTCTGAGGATTTAGTGATAGAGTACTATTTGGGGCGAGAGGGGGGGTACGAGGGGTTTTGGTGGGGATAGGAGGGGTATAGGTGGGGATTATAAACTTTGAGGATTTTTATCTTTTTTTCTACTGGCTCAAATGAGCCAAAATTTTGGTGGCATACACCTTATGCAAGGTATTTTGCGCTAGGTCGGACAACCCTTGTCCGGACCGAGACCGTCCGACGTCCGACCAGACGTCCGGTCGGACAACCCAGGGGTCCCGGACGTCCGGCCAAACAACCTAGATTAAAAGATATTTTCTTATGACTTTCTATTTGAAGGGGCTTTGGAGTCCACGTAGCATGCGGTACAATAAGGCTTGCTGTTGCCTTCGCCAGCTAGTGAGAGTTCTTTTTCCATCTCTGCGAGGGCTTTTACTAATATTTTATTTTTTCCTTACTCTCTTTATTTTTATTTAGAGAAAACTACGGCGCAGTCAGGGTTTGAGTTTGTAATTGCACTTGAGGCAAAAGGGCCGCTAATGCTGAATGTATATGACCTACGTTTCGGGTCTGGTGGGGTCACGTGGGGGTGTGTTGTATTCGCGGGATTGCCTGAAGTGCAATTACAAACTGTTTTCGTGACTGCGCCGAAGTTACCCCTTTTATTTATTATCTTAGGTCCCATCCTTTTGGGGGCACAGTTCCGTTACCGGTTTCGGGACCCGTGTTGGGACCAACAGACTTGCTTAGTTGGTACACTCTTGAACTGTTGAAATACAAACCCGAGTCCGAATCCAGATGGAGGAACATGATGAGTAAAAGACCCTTACCACCCCATGCCCATTTTGCACATTTGGCGAGTAGTGGAGCAGCGCCCCATAGCATGGTCCTCCGGGACATCCATTAAAATTGGAACGATATAGACAAGACTAGCATGGCCCCTATGCAAGGAAGGCACTCTAAATGGAAAAGAATTTGGGCAGCCCAGACTGAAGGAGGCAGGGACAGAGCAGCACGAGGAGGAGGAAGCAGGTGCTGAGGCAAGACAGGAGGCAGGGGGCGCGCGGGGCTGTCCGTACTCACATGAGGACCTTCACCCACCCATGTATCTGGCGACCCTCTCCTTGATGCATGTGATTGCAAGACCGGCCATAAATAAGTTGAAAAAGTCCTAGTGTGTGTATGTCTTTTGCGAGGTTAGAGAAACCGGGTCTAGTGCGAGTTTGGGCCTCGCCACACCACTCTAGAACTAGAAATGTGGGTACATCTGGCTATGTTCTAGCAGGAAGTTCATTCTCGTTTTGCACATTTCTAGAACACCACTGTAGAACTAGAAACGTCAAAAAGACAAAAATGTGCCGGGTGCATCTGGCCGTGTTCTAGCAGGAAGTTCATTCTCGTTTTGCACATTCCGAGAGAGGTGTGGCGATGCCCTTGGTCACGAACGCCAGATTGTCGCAGGCTTCGGGGACTGCCTGGCAGCGGCTGGGCTGGTTGACTTTCATTAGGGATGTTCTTGTTTTTGTCGACGTGTTACGGTTATGGGTTTGGTTGATGTTCTCAAATGGCTGAGGGGCGGGGAGCTCGGAGGTGCACAGTGGTAATATCGGGGGTAATTGGAGGTCCACATGTGGGACGAGAGGCCGGCCAACTGCTAGTAGGAGCGGGACACGTGGCAGGAGCGGCTGAGGAACCACCTTAGGGCGTCGCCGCACGGGACACGAAACGAAAAACGAAACGAGTGCATCTTCCTGCAGAAAATGGCCAGGTTCATCGGTTTGCTGTAAATAGTAACGAGTGTATTTCGACACATTTCGTGGGCAGATGCACTCGTTTCGTTCTCGTTTCGTGTGCCGTGCGGCGAGACCCTTAGGGAGCTGCAGGCGTAGCAGGCGGGTACTATCTGGTAGCGTCTTTCGTGCATGTGCCAATTTCTGCTGCCGTCAACACCGCAACAGGATCTGTCGTCGCGTCTGCTGCTGTGATGATCAGTTCGATTGCCGGCAGCGCCACTAACTGTTGTCGTCAACAGCGCTGTTCTCATCCATCCGCGTGGCTGTTTCTCACATTGGGAGCGCCGTAGCCGTGTTGGGGACCGGGAACGCCATAGCCAGACCGGAGGGACCGGGGGCGCCAGTGTGGGACCGGAACTGTTGTCGTCAACACCGCTATTCTCGGCCACGCGCCGCTATTCTCGGCCACGTGGCTATCGCTATTCTCGGCCACGTGGCTGTTTCTCACATTGGGAGCGCCATAGGCGGATTGTGCACGTGGCCACCGGGATTATCATAGGCAGCAGACCAGAGGGACCAGGAGTGCCAGTGCGGGACCAGAGCGGCCAAAGAGGTCCCATTGCCGGACCTGAGGGCGGAGGTGCCATAACCAAAGCACGCACAAGCGCACGTGGGGCTGTCTTCATCGTTGAGAAGGATACTGATCATCATCAACCAAGAACTTAAATCATGGTGAGTAAAAAAATTTAAAATTATAAAATAAAATAAAAAAACCGTGGTGAGTACTTCCGACATTTGTGAGAATTGGAACGATAGAGAGAAAGGAAGATTAATTAGCATGGCCCCTGCGCAAGGCCTCTGCGCAAGGATGTGACACGCAGAAATCGTGAAATGGTGGTCCCAGTTGGGAAAAAAAAAGAAAAGAAAGAAGAAAAAAATGGAGGTGGGGAATTTGCGATCCTTTTATTTATTTTTGAAAAACAAGCTCCGATCTATTCGTGGGGAGCAGCACGTGCTTTGATCTATTCGTGGGGATCCTTTTTGTTTGCATTTTTTTTTTATTTTTTTTTAAAGCTTTGATCTATTCGTGGGGAGGGAGCAGCACGTGCTGAGAACCGGGCCCAGCGTCCGAGCACGGCCGGGCATAACGTAAGTTCACATTGCGATTCATTTAAAAAAACAAGAAAAAAAAGAAAAGCGATTCATTTAAAAAAAGAAAAAAAACAGAAAAAGAATGGCGATTGAATGGAGTATTTTCTTAGCATCCAGGATGCAGTTGCTACCGTCTTTCAACCCGAATAGAACGCACCAGCATTGTAGCTGTATTTGGTGCAACTTGCAGTCTAGATACTCGCGATAATGACCACGCGTTCTATTGTGCTGTAGATGGATGGTGGTGGGAGTGTAGAAGTTCGCTCCCCTATCTCCCCGTCGTTGTACTGGGGGATATTCACACTCGGGAGTTTCCTATTGATCTCTGGACGTCATTGCATTCAGATACATTCAGGTCCGTCCGGAATTGCGGGCAGATACATATGAAAAGGTGCTTGTGTGAGTACGCCCTTTGTCATCCTTTACATTCTCCCTCTCCCTCCTCTTGTGGAGGGTGAGAGTGGTTCGAGTACCTGTCTTCCCCTCGGCGCCCCGCTGCGCGCCGTCCGAATGCAGCACACCCCTTTACCCATGGATCCAGGGGGGCTATTTGTCTTATCATGGATGTAGACAAGCTGTATGTCCAGGAGCTATCTGTCTCATCATGGACATGGATGTAGACAAGCTATATGTCCGGGCTTGATACTGGCGTAAATGAGGAGGGTGAGTTGTGTTGGGGGAATACGGTACCTTCACGTCGTGCGATCGCACAGAAATCACAGTGTGTTTATCTTTGTCTTTTTTTTTTTTATTCATGTAATTTGTATCTAGTTAAATTCAACTTGATTGCAGATTCGGGGAGAGTTTTCCCCCAAGACGAAGTGACTAAGCTGTGCCTTCTCTCTCTCTCTCTCTCTCTCTCTCTCTCTCTCTCTCTCTCTCTCTCTCTCTCTCTCTCGTTCCTCAGAGCGCCAAAGCGAAAAAAATGAAAAGGGAAAAAAAGAAAAACCGAATTCTTTTTTTAATCTTCTTCCTTACAACTCCCCCTGTTCAGAACCTCTTGCGTACCAGACCTATGTGTTATCGTTCAACATATATATGAAACTCCGACGAAACAGTTTGTCACAGCCCCTCGTTTGTTGTCCTCTTCTCCCTCTCTGCCTACGGTTTACCGGGCAGTTCTATTTTACGATATATATATTGTCACATGATATCAGAGCGCCTAAGCGAAAAAACCAAAAAAACAAAAAAATCTTAAATTCGTTTTTAATCTTTTTCCTTACAACTCCCCCTGTTCAGAACCTCTTGCGTACAAGGCCGCCCACGTGGATGTATATATATATGTCACAGCCCCTCGTTTGTTGTCCTCTACTCTCTCTCTGCC